ATGGTGACTTCCGTGTCGTGAACACTGTGCTCATTGAGCAAGGAAGTCGTTTTGTTCCAACAAATTAAGTTGCAGTGTCTAGTGGACACGCGAGCCTCGTTGAGGCAATAATCGATTGGAACTGTAAATATTCTCAATCGTCATGGGGGAGGGTGTAACGGGGTTACATGTACCCATGTACCCTGGTAAAAGAAGTGTGTGTCACACGAGATGGGCATGGTGTGATCACATCCAAACAAGAATACGGAACGGGGCTAGATAGCCATAGTTATGCATGTATTTAGATTTTACTATATATATTAAGTATATTTAAGAAAATCTAAACATTCAAAACTAGGCGGCTTTGCCGCAGATAAGAGTCAATAAAAATCAGTTTTGGATTCTAAACGGAAGAGCTAATAGCCTTGGATAAGGTAATCATTACTCTTGGAGTAAGCGGATTGCGATCCGCTGAACTCGTACTTGTTCTAAGTAGAAAACGAAAGGTCGGTGACCTAAATTACGCTTCCTCAAGCGCTAAGCTACGGCAGCTCCGCTGCAGATGCTATATACACGTTTCGCGATATCCCATAAACAATCCATTCTCTTCACTTACAAGACAAGTAATATATTGTTTAGTACCTCCATCCTCGAAGTGTCGAATATTTGGTACTTTAAAAGCTAATACCGTCGAGACTGTCAACGAATTCAGAGACGAAAAGTCAACAAGATTGACCTCAGCAACGACCAAAACCGTTCATTTATGAGCCCCAGAGCTGATAGCGCTCGCACATCATAAAACCCTTTTGAAGGTCTGAGGATTATTCAGCTAAAAGAAAGCATTAACTCTTTCTTCTATCGGATGTTTAATACATCGGCTTGTTATCCAAATTGCTTTGGTGGTACAAGTCCACACTACATGCTCGAATGTCGAAGCAGGTCGAAGAGATCAAAGCGAGCAAAGTTATTACGTTAAACTTTGGACGAGACTACTTGCAGCTGCAGTGGCCATGAAATACTCTGTGACCTCGGTAATGCGAAATATAAAGTGTATCATCACTCACATCCGAACAAATCACAAAACACCGAGTCATTGCATGAGCAGTACCGTTGTTCGTGCAAAACTACGAGTTTCATAGATAATCTAAAGGCATTGAGTGCGTGCCTTGGCCCATGAAAAATATATTGGTAGCTTTACCACAAGAGTAATTTTGCTGTGATGGCGAAGAACTGCTCTGCTGTTCTAGTCTTACAGTGATGGTGCCAACAGACGCTAAGCAATAGATAGAGACTGGGGCAATTGGCTCGCCGAATTCAAGACCGAGGTGGTTCAAACAGATTTGACTTTGTCGAGTTTGAAGACCATCAAGATTTTTTCTGCAATTGTCAAAGCAAAATAATGACGATACCGAAAGTCGCACACCTCCATCGACGCAAGAGAAACCGAAGATGTAGAACAAAAGGGAGTCAAGAAATTGATAAACTCTCGGAGAACCCAGCGCATGCGAAAGCGGTCATGTCACTTATGTGGAGAACTTGGACACTACTCGAATCGTTGCACTAGGCATACTGCAAGATTAGAACTCGAACATTATGTCACATTGTGTATTACAAAATGAACTCGAATAAAGACCGCATCGTGAATGAATATGTATTGTACAATGATTTCAGACATGCAGTCGATGCAATAGTAGGTTCTCCGCGCATCGTTAGATTGCTCGATTTGATCGATCTATACCAACTCCCAGAATCGGACGACACCTGTGCTGCTCGAGAAAGATATGGTTGGAGGTCATTATTCCTGTACCTCGTGTTGATAATTATTTCACGTGCTTCGCGTAATCATGGAAGCAATAGAATATAAACGTCATGCCATACCTTTAGCTAATTTTGACATCACTTTTACGTGTGGGTTCGAAAGTGTATAATAGTCTTGTGCGCGCCTCTTAAAATGCATTTAAGTCTTTGAGTTCTTGTAATGCATATACTGTAAAATTCTATATTTTGTATAAGGTACTAGTGATTGAGCATAGGACTAATGTCCGTTAAACCGTGCATTGTGCTGCCGCTGGTCTTGGTATTACTAGCGGGTGTAGTGGATGCGGAGTCGAAGTCGAAGCCTAACAAGACGTGTCGCTCAGCAGGCATACTCAAATTTGACCCCTCGACGCGCCCCATCCAGCATGTACGCTTTCAAGCTGCCCTTGATTTTTCCTTGATATGCTTACGCTGATATGCAGAGAAAGAGATTAGAGGTGTGCAGCAAGTTTCAAAAAAGAACATGCTGTAATGCTACTCATACGGTGGCTCTTCGTCTGTAGGTGCAAGGAGATACCTTATCCGAATCGCGTGTGGCTCACAACTACTTTGATTGGTTTGTGAACGGTAGGAAGATTCGGGAGCCGGTGGTGGCTAAATTCAGTCGTAAATGCCAAGAATTGACAGAGGAGATGATATGCTCGTCGTGCCACCCGCTAATGGGCACATGGGAGATGAAGAACGTGTGTCCGAGTCTGTGCAATGACTGGTTTGATGTCTGCAAGGATGAGTATTACGCTCATGGAGGATCGAGTTCACTGACTCCTTGCTACGGCAATGCGCTGGTGTGCTCGCCTTTAAAGTATATTGTTAACTCTGGTGCAGCGTTTTGCGCTCATATGGGTTTTCATGTGGGCAGCGAACTGAACGTTAACGGTATCGAATGCTTTGACGGATCTGTACCTGACGAACTAGGCGAAATGGAGCCTTCTGAGCCGTGGCAAATGCAGCTGATGCGTATGCTGAAAGAGGAGGCGGAAAACCCGTCCGGACTGTTTATCTCAAGCTGTTTTATTCTTTTAACAATGGTCTTGATGGGAAAAAAAGTTGTCAAGCAGATTGGAGACCCCTTCGGCGGCAACCAGCTCAATCTGATGGAGGTTCGTCGCTTACAACAGGAGCGCTACGAGCACGGGGAGCAGGTGTACGACGACGAGACGGAAAGTAGCAGTGATGAGAATAGGCCGTCTCAATCAACAATTGAGCTGTCGAGCGACGGAAGTCTGCCACACGTTACCGCTGTGGCTACACGATAAAAGCTCAGCCTGCGTTGAACAATGTAGCATCGCTTTCACTTTTTGCTAGCCAAAATCAGCAAGATTTAGTTTTTGAAGGTACGATTATCGAATTGGTGCATCAGCTTAAATGCAAGAGCCACTGTACTAGGTTCTGCGGTCGAATAACAGATCAACACAAGGTCCCAGCAAAACTTTTATTCATTATGCACATGTGCACCCTGCTCTTGCGAGCTTTGTCACGTCAGCAATGAGAGTTTCGCCAACACTTGTTTCCATAGCTTTATTGCAGCTGCCATTCTAGCTTTCATTTTACCCTTCACAAGTTTATTCCTGATTCTTCAGCAGCTCCACACGGATCTTCCATTCCTCATACTGGCACTTCTCATAGGCGTGGCGCAGGTCCTGGCATTTCCATGGTAGAAAAAGGGTGGACCGTCGACATTTATTCAACGGGATCAGCAAACCTGCACACGTGTCACGATAATTTAGCGGAAGCTTTGCGTCCACCATTTCTTGGCGCGTAGGCATGCGAGGGCCTACAGTATACGCGTTAACGTACATGAAGTATTCAAGATAATGTGCATTATTCTTGGCTACAAATGGGAGAAAAGATACGGCAATGGCAACAGCTTCACGTGCATACTTTGCCTCAAGAAACCGTACCAAGCTACCTTGACGCACCTTCGTTGTGATCGCCGCTCATCGTTTAATTCTCCGAGAGCCTTTTCGTCTTAATTTTAACCAATCGGATTTTTACAAATTATTTTTTAAGAGAGCGCAATGAACTGCGCCGCACCTGTCCCCGTAATAACGGCGGAGATGCAGCAAGACCACAAAGTAGTAGGTGCGAAGATTCGTGTCGAAACAAACAAACATGAGACTTTTGAAGGCACTGTATTTACGCTGGATCCTGTCGCCAATTTTCTTGTGCTTGGTAGGACGTTTTAGGCTAGATTTCTGAGCGATACATCTTTCGATCATAGTTTTGCTCGTTTGCATCATGCAGAAGAGAGAGACGGGGCTAAACTCAGGACGCTTATCTTCCATTGCAATGCGTTGCAGAAGGTTGAGGTGCTCGAAGAAGCTCCTTCTGGTCTTATGCTGAAGCTGCCGGTCATCAGTGCTGACGAGCTGCAGCGCTTAGAGCAACAAAACAAGGAAAAAGCCGAGAAGGCACTAGCTTCTATCGGACAGGGTGTTACCGGGGAAGCTCAGGCCATTTTTGATGCTCTTAATAAGACGTGTGTGGTGTTTTTAGCAGACTAAACTGGATAATATCTTACTCTAAAAATGTTGCTGCTTTGGCTACCATCAGGATGCCGTGTAAATGGGAAGGGAACGCTATTCGAGTTATGGGTGACGTGACGATCAAACCGCCGTATCACCCACAGAACTGCATGAGTACGAACAATCTGGTGCTGTCGCGTGTTAAGAAAGTGGTAAGCTGAACAGAACTACCCTATTGACGAGTTACAATTACGAGAATCTTACTCGCTTACATGCTTGAATTAAAGTTGGAGGGAGAGAAGAGTAAACTGTCAAAGAGAAAGAAGTGACGGACTTGCGGACATGAGATCTGGAATGAAGGATACACTTTATCTACCATCCGTAATTTTTCAGACATTAATTGACAATTACGCATATAAGTTTTCAGCCTAATCTATTCCTTCATTCGATTTAATTTACTCAAAATCAGTCAGTATTTTTTGGCCAGGCACCACACTTCATGGGTGGTACGTACAAGCTAGGTCCTATTCGGATTAGTTGCTGCGTCCCCAACGCCGTACAACTTTCATGAAATACTACTTCTTCAATAGTGGATCCAAGCTTTACAAATTGGTGATCTACATCTTGATTGAAAAGCCTTATCTCCTAGTGTTTGTCTGCATGACTTGCTGCTCCATTTATCCATTGTTGCTTAAAAATAATTAGACAAGGTCAGTCGATCCGAAACTGTCGTGCACAATGTCAATAGCGCGCTACGTTTGTGCGTGTGTATAATGTATAATTGTACACACGCACATTATATCTTGCACTTTCACTAATTGTGCAAAATACCATATTTCACGATTGTAGAAAGTTCACACAATACACACTTGTGCAATTGTAGATATTCCGAAGTACCAAAGTTTTGGTACTAATGAAGGTGATACGAAGAGGTCCATTTCACAGGTGGGCCGGTAGCTTCGCGCTTACCAGCATTAATACATTTACCACTGGATATAAGACAACGTAAACACAAGATTAATTTACCTTATATGTCAGACCTGATATAGTAGGGAAAACTGAATACTGGGGCTCACTGTTTCGGAAGCAAACGAAGTCAACCTCTGTGTGCTGTGCACGTGGGCTCTTTGATTAAAAGCTTCCTAAGTACACTGCACCAGCAACTTCGTTGCAATTGGTAGCACTAGAAAGCAATCCGACGATTAGGTCTTGAAAGGGCCATTTTCTGCGAAGATATAACACGAATCATCTGGCTCGACAGGTTCATTACGCAATTTGCCAGCTACCCCACAAGTGGACAAAGACGAGCCCAATCCCGCTCTCCCACTATCAAACCAACATACGCCGCTCCGCCCCCCCCC